AATCAATCAATCAATCAATCAATCAATCAATCAATCAATCAATCAATCAATCAATCAATCAATCAATCAATCAATCAATCAATCAATCAATCAATCAATCAATCAATCAATCAATCAATCAATCAATCAATCAATCAATCAATCAATCAATCAATCAATCAATCAATCAATCAATCAATCAATCAATCAATCAATCAATCAATCAATCAATCAATCAATCAATCAATCAATCAATCAATCAATCAATCAATCAATCAATCAATCAATCAATCAATCAATCAATCAATCAATCAATCAATCAATCAATCAATCAATCAATCAATCAATCAATCAATCAATCAATCAATCAATCAATCAATCAATCAATCAATCAATCAATCAGCATATAAAGTGTATAGCCCTAGTTAAGAAGAAGTGAGAACAAGAAGACGATCGTAAACCTGGGCGTTTAGGTTCAATTAATATATCTGATAAGTACTTAGGAAATAACTTAGATTGAGACTTATACATAAATGTACAAATTAAAGAAATTAATCTTTACTTTATAGATAGCCAGTGCAAGAGAACAAGATATGGAGATATATGAGAAAAGAAAGGGACAGGAGCAACTAGACGAGCAGCGGAGTAAAAAGCTTTACTTGAAGGATAGAGTGTAGAATCAGGAAGACCATAGTAGAGCGAGATACAATAATCAATCCTAGATAAGACTAACAAAGTAACAAAAAGGAGAAGAGTAGGATCGTCAAGAAAAGGCAAAAGTTTTCTTATTCTACGTAGATGAAAGTAAGAGCTTCTAGCAACACTATTTATATGAGAAGAAAGAGACATACTAGTATCAAAGATAAAGCCTAGACTACGAGACTTGTGAGAAATATCAAGAGTTTTAGAATCCGGCAATATAATAGTGGGAATAAAAATATAGTGTTTAGATTTATTAAAACAAATTAATTCAAATTTAAAAGAATTAAGTTTAAAACAAATAGAGTCAGACCAAGCGATAATTGAAAAAAAAACAGAGTGAACATGAATAAAACTATTGAGATTAGATGGAGGAAAAGAAGTAATATATATAAGAATCATCAGCATATAGTTGACTAGTGAAAGAAAAATTATTAATAATGCAAGGTAGTTCAGAAGTATTGAGTATTTATAGAAGAACGCCAAGAATTTTTAAAATTTGCACATTTATGTATAAGTTTCAATCTAAATTATTTCCTAGGTACTTATCCGATATATTAATTAAACCTAAACGCCCCGGTTTCTTCTTGTTTTCTTGTTTTCACTTCTTAACTCATGTTAAACACTCTACATTTGCTTTTTTAGCCCTTCTTTCTGGAACTCTCTACCTCCTTTTCTAACTACTTCTCCATCACTTACAAAGTTCAAAAAGGATATTAAGACCCATCTTTGAGAAGCGTTGTTGAACATCGCGAAAATAAATTTTTGTAAACGAATTGATTGTATTGATTGATTAATTGCATTTTCAAGTGGCTGGTTGGCAATAATTCTTTTTTCATTAAAATCAGTCCGCACTTCAATGTCAAAATTTTTTTTATTTAGTTCGCTGATTATAAATTTACAATCACCACATGCAACTCCAATAACCCGCCAAATTTTTGACAACACAAAACAATTTATCATATCTCCAACACAATACATATAAAAATTGCAGAGGCTGTCCCAATAGATATCAATATACCCCAAATTAACATCCAACAAAGAATGATTACATCATTACCAACTCGATGTCTTAATACTAACTCTAATAACAATTAAGAACAAAAAAAATGATAACAAAAATGAAGAATAAAACACCAACTATGCTGACTGGAAGGAGACCATGAATGATGCAATATTTAATATGTTCTACCGAATGTTTAGCTCTTGAAAGTTTACGACTGAGCTTTTCAATATTTCTAACAGTAAGAGGTAGGAAAAATAAAAAATTGCAAAATGGAATGTAATATCAGTTTTACCCACCCCCTTGTCAGTGCCACGAATTTTTTGATCTCGCCCCCTTCAAAGCGTGACATCCTTTACTGACCGCCCCTTATATACATAATTAATTCATTCGATTAGATATTTGCTACAACTGTAATTAAATTAGTTATCTGATAATAGTTATCCTCCTATCCAGCGAACGTAATGAGCTTAGTTGTTTACATTAAAATGCACGTCTTTGAGTACAAAGAAAATAAAATTCTTTCAGGCATGCAATCGATTTCAACAACAATTTGATCTACGGCGGATATACCCAAAATAAAACCAAACAATGAGAACTAATGGACAAAACGCAAGCAATAATAATAATAATAATAACAATAATAGCCAAAAATAATAATAGCAATAATAATAACAAAAAAAATTTTTTTTGAAGTCCACTGAAAGTAATAACGACAGCTGAATTTCAGAGACCAAATAAGATGATAGGCCATCGTAATCACTGCAAAAACAAGAAATACAAAATTATATTAAAACCAAATAATTAAACAGAAATGCACTCAAGGCATAAATACTCTGAACATTAACCATATAGTAAAGCACTTAATTAACGGAGAATATTAAATTATCATGGAGGTTCAAAGTTTAAAATAAATTGTTTAAATGATTTTTTAAATAATTGTAACTGAGCGATCATTTTAAATTTTAATGCTTGACAAAAATAAATGATCAACATGAGACATAAAAGGTAGATTATAAAAAGATTTTAATGTACCATTTTTACAGATGATTAATTATACACCGGAGACTATTACCCAAAATAATATTACAATATGTCAAACAGGGCAAAATGTTAAACGTTATTTGCAAATTTTAGTTACAGGTGTATGTATTTCAAATTTTAATGAAGGACCGTACATAAAAGATGTCACGCTTCCATGGGGTAGGGTCCAAATATTTGTAGGAGGGTTGTAAACGCAAGTGTGATGTCCCTTTTCTTTAAATAAACAAAACAATAAATAAATATTTGTTCTTTAATATATATGCGCTGCGCATAAATGAATATTAAAGTTTTCAAGCGAGCAACTAGCTCGTGAATATTAATTAAAGGAGGGTCAAAAAAACGTTAAAAAAGTGAGCTATTTTGTTTACCTTTCTGTATAAGAGAATGCGAATTTTATTATTTTCGAATAAATTTTTTTTATCAATTACAAAGTATTTAAATAATAATTTTTGAGAAGATTTCTATTCTAGCTGAGACTTCGCGAGCATTTAGACATTTAAGATTTTTATGAGCTTGAATATTATTTCAAGTTTCTATTTTTCTATTGTCTCAACGTCACTCCATTTCTTTATCGGTACAGCGCTTTCACAAGCACACACACACGCACGCATAACCTTCACTATACTATTCATCTTACGTCTCCACTTGCACCTGTAGCACTTTCTTCCTTGATATTTGTGCAGCTAGACCAAAATAAATCAATAGCTCTGCGCTATTAAATCATCTCCTCCAACATCGGGACGCGCATCAAAGCATGTAAAGTACATTCGTAAGACATTTCAAAATATTTCTCCTGACAACAAATTTATTTTTTTCTTCCAAAAAATGAAATGAAAATTTAAATGAAAACAATACATTAACTTTTTTTAGCTTGTATTAATATAAATGTTTATGAATCATCACCCCACCACCACCACTAACGCCATTACGAAATAAACTAACGACTTCCGCAGTCCTTACACTTTTGTATTCGACGGGTTAGAAAAGATATCGAGAAGGTATAAAAGTTAAATAAGGTACAAGAAAGGCAAGAGAAAGAAGAAACTACAACAGGAGAAGGCGAGGTACAAGTGCTTGAGAGTACCAAAAGTTTCGAAGAAAGAAAGTAAAAAAACTGATATTTGGTTTCTCCAGGAACAAACAAACCGCAAATCCTGACAACCGGGGTCGCAACTTCGGTTTACTAAAATTTTCATCAGACATCAAACTACGCAAACATCAAAACAAGAGAAACTAACTTAGATTATCGCAGTGAAATAGCGTAATTTCAATAGCAAATAATATGAACATGAAATATTTTTTAAAACAAAAACTATAAAAATTCAAAGAAAATTAAATTCAGTTGGAATACGTTATTCTACGAAAGATGAACGATTTCATGTAATTTAACTTAATTGAAAAATATACTGATTGAAACAAAATTTATTGTTTAAGTAAATACAAACTTTATAACTAAGAGGTTTGTGAAAAAAGTTATCCGAAAATATCATACAAAGATCACAACTTTTTAAAATGAGTAAATAAATAAACAAAACAAACAGACACACAGGCAAGCAAACAAACAAGCAGACAAATAAATAAATAAATGTAATCAATTTGAAGTGAACGGTTCTATAAATAAAAGCAAAACCAACAGACAACTTTGCATCAAAAGTAACAAGATCCTCCACGCAGGTGTTTATATAATGAATAGTATGATTCCATCAAATGAAAAAAATAAATGAAAAAGATTAAATGAAAAAGTAATATTCATTCATTCGAAGGGTTTTAATTCAACGTAGGATAAAATATATTCTGGGAATAAAGCACCATATACAACCTTTCATATTATTTTTTATTCATTACCAACACTATTATATATATATATATATATATATATATATATATATATATATATATATATATATATATATATATACACACACACACACATATATATATCTACGTGAAGCGCATGTACATAGTTTAAAGTAATGATTCAGCTAAAAATGCATTGTTTTTCAATCTCAACAAATAATGATACAACATAAACAAAAATAAACGTTTGTTTTCAAACGAAATTTTATAAGATAGGCACATTTGCAAGCCGACGATAATATTTATAAGGCCACTGAATAAAAGATTGTCCATAAATAAAAAAATTTTCTCTTTTTTACGTTTGCTTCAGAGGTTTCAACGACAAACACAAACAGCGTGAAAATCACGCATCATACATATTGCATATGATAAGCTGGGATCTCTTTGTGTTCGAACCCAGTCATTTTTTTATTATTCTTTAAAAATCAGTATCTGACAGACGCAGAAACCGTTACAGTATGCAACATTGCATGCATCATTACAACAGCAAGACCAGGCGCCTTTAACCGTTGAGCCATCACGCCGCATTTAACCTTCACAAAAAAGATTATGTATATGATCTCCACACATGTTGAAATTTAAATATTCAAAATAGGAAATGCATGCTGAGCAAATGAAAATTATTGCTGAGATAGAAAGAGTAACATGTGAACAGAATGTTGATGAGTGATTGATTGATGTAAAGTTGATTTATGGTTGATTGAGGATTTGATAGTTTTATATTCGTGAAAAATTAAACTTGATAAATGATGTATGCAGTAAAGTTGGTGGGTAAAATAGATAAGTGTTTATTAAAAAAGCATAGATTAACTAAATAACTTGAAATGATTATGATTAAATTTGTACAAATTAAGGAAAATTTAAAACAATAAAATTCTATCGTCCCCTAAAGAATCATCACCGCCACTACTCACCACACCACCACTAACACAACCGTTTCGACAATCTTCCTTCAAAGTGTATTCATAAATTAAAACAATTTAAAAATAATGACACCGCTTGTAAAACCTTTGACAATCCATCCCCGCATAAAGTTTTACATGTCGTGTGTGTTTGTCAGCACGTACGTATTTTTTATGTACGTGCAAGCACCGCGTCATGGAATAAAACAATCTTTGAACTAGGAACAGTTTTCACGCAATAAAAACGACGCGAGATTAGACACTTCTACCGTCTGAGCTAATTAGCAAACCTTATTTCAACATAATCATGATTTCAATAACTTCTTCTTAAACGTCACTCAATAATGAAAGAAAAATTGATGACAAACTCCAACTAAATAATAGAAACAATGATAAAACTAAAACTATATCTTGACACATAACAAGCCCAATCATCACATCATAATCTTTATCACATCATCTACATCATTTCATCACCATCATTATCGTCAGCTGTATTCCACGCAACCTCCATCCAACTCAGTTATTACAATTAGCAGCACTAGTGAAGCCCTTGATGAGGGAATCTTGAAACTCCGTGGTGTACTGTAAGCAAAGGTCGAAGTAGTTTCTCTGGCTGATGATGAATTCCTGAAGACACTTCAGGTGGTGAGCCTGGTCATCAAGATGTCAATGAAGATATGAAGTAGAGATGTACCGATATTAAATATGAAAGTGGTGCTAATATTAAGGTGACGAAAGTAATGATGTAAACATGTATTGTTGATGACGTGAAGATGATGCCTATAAAAATCACGGTGGCAATAAAAAAGAGATGCACTAAAACAGCTGCTGAAAAATTTGTAAAAATGATATTTAGTTGTAAAATGGAAATAAAAAATAGTAAAAGTAAAGTGTGGACTGATCAGACTGTTAGAACCACGTACATGGGTGCTGGTGATGCCCAGTAACAACTGTTTGACCACTTCTGCCTGTCTGTCAAAGTTTGATTGGGCCAACCTCAATTCTGGTTCCATCTGTTTTCGTGATGGAGTGATGATGTGGGCGTGAAGTGAGGATATAATAATTCACTAATGTGGAATGATGAAATTAAAATGTGCACAGTAATAAAAAATCATTACATTTTGTTTAACTATGACATAGCGACGTCGACGTTAATATAATGTTCATTTAACGTTATGCTATCAATATGACGATGTAACAAACACGTTGTTGTCGTAAATAAAAAATGTGATGTCCTGTAGTTGAAGAAAAACAGTTGAAAGATGAATGTTAGAAATTGGAATGGAAACAGTCCTGAAATGATTGATACAAATAAGTGAATAAGTAATGAATGAATAAACAACTGCGTAATAAACAAATCATATAACAATTAAGAAAAAGGATAAACAAAGAAATAAAAAAACAAGAGATACAAAAGTTGTCATTTAATAAACGTGTCCTTATAAAAGGCTACAGCTTAAGAACAAGTTGATTTACCGTGCAAACAGTTTTTTGCATATCTTCTTTCATAAATCAACATTTCATATTCTCAACTTTGTTTACGTTGGCATTATATAATCACTACAAATATGTTTTAAACATTTTTATTGGCAACATTTTTTCGTTATTCAAATTTTATTTCCTCACCTCAACGTGGTGTTCCTGGATCAGATAAATAAATTATAGGTGGATAGAGAGATGGGAAATATAGAATAATAGAATAACTGAGTGAACCATGCAACAGTGAAATGTAGAATGTAGTAAAAGAGGCTACGGCATTACAATTGTAAATAACAAAAAGACAATACAATCATTGTTAAAGATGTAAAGATGATGATAATGTCACACTGTTGGTGGTGATGATGTTGATGAGAAAGCAATGCAAATAGAGACTAAATAGAGTGTTATGACTAAACCTCATTAGAATAAACATGCGTGCATTGGTGAGTGTGTGTATGCATGTTATATCTATATGTGCGAATGCGTAAATTCAAATTAAACACATAAACATGCCAAAATATCATCCTAATAATCGTACAGCCTAAATTACAAAATTTTTCATTTTGCATGCACATTATGTAAGTTTAATAAATGTTTAAATTACTGATAAAACCGACAAAAATAATAAACTTCACCAAAAATGTTTGTTAACTTAAGTAGCAGTAATACCTAAAATAGCGATTACAATTAATAATTACCAAAGTAATTGAAAACTGTCTAAAAAGGACAATTTAATTAAGTGTTTGAGATACTTCTAAAATACTGGGGCAAGTATTTAAAATACTATTTTAGTATTTAAATACTTAACAATACTCTGCAGAAAAATATAAAAACACCAACAACCACACAAATAAACATTCTGATTAGCAGAGATACGTACGTGACAAACACATACATGCAAACAAAGTAAAAACATGCAGAACGAATGAACATCCAAGTGAAACGAACCAAGGTGGCAGCAAGTTCCTTATTAGCTGCTTTCTTCTGCTTGGTTTTCACAGCATCTAGATCCAATCTTTTCATTTCTAGTGTCTTCAATTCTCTCTATTCATTTCGAAGGTTTTAAATGGAAAAATGGATTAATAGATAAAAGAAAATAGATCAATGTTATTTTTTATTATTCTTTTTTATTTAACAGCATATGCTACCCGTAAATAAGAAATAAGACACCAAATAATAATGTTAGTTTTCGATATATATATATATATATATATATATATATACATATATATATACGTACGCTTATAGGCGCTTAACCCCGACAGGCAAAACTACCCAGAGTTCGTTCCGGAATTTGTTGACGAAAGCCCTGGGTTGGCCTTGTCGCATGAACATGCACGTTTTCATGTTCATACTAGTTTTAGAATTCCATAAAACTTGTTGTCAGGTAAAGATCCTACCTCTACTCGAACTCACCCAGAGATTTGGACGAAGAGAAGAATCATTCTTACTTTCTGTGTGGCATGCTTCTATCTTCCAAACAGCATTCACTCATGGCAGGGGTTAAATGTGCCTGATCATGCAATTTACTTTAACAATATTCTGCCTTTCCCTATTTCCTGACTTAGCTATACCATAAACATGTCCTACCTTGGGAGAACTGGGTCTCTGGACGCTAAACGATGATTGATTGATCATACGGTAAACATACGTTCTTGCCGTCCTCTGTGCTCAGCTTTTCTTATAAGTCCTTGATACTTTCGTTTTGCTATCGCTACTTCTACCTTAGTCTTCTGTGTAAAAGTTCGATAGGCAAGCTCTATGATTTTCTTCGTTTATTGATATTTTCCATTTCTTATAACTTTCATTTTTATCCCTTATCGCCCTTTCGACCGTTTCATTCCACCGCCATGTTACCTTATGTCGCATTGGCCCCTTTCTTACCTGATATGTTGTCTCAGCTGCATTCAGCATATTATTTTTCATTTCAACCCATGACATCTCTAAACCAAAATTAACAATGTTACCCCCCGTTCGAACCATATTTTGATATGCTATTATGATTTCCGGTTTTCTTAATTTCAAAAATTTGATTCTGGTTTCTGTAATATTTTTTGTGTTTTCTTCCCGTCTTAGTATAAAATCATTACAAAACGTTCTGACGTTTTTAAAGAACCTGTGGCTTTCTCTTTTTGCCAAAATGAAATCTACTGTGATCTTGACCTCCCCTGACTCATACGTTATTAAATGGCACGGTTTCTTCTAAACCAAGTGTTGTAGATCATTATGTTCCAGGCAATTCCAAAATCTAATATTCTTTCACCATCTCTGTCTCTTTCCCCATACCCAATTCCACTATGCAATGGTTCATAACCATTACATTCTTTTCCAACATGTCCATTTAAGTCTACTCCTAAAACTACTATTTCTTTTTCGAGTATCACAGTCATTTCATTTAACTCATCCCAAAATCTCTCATTATCCTCCTCTTTTCTACCGCTTTGCGGAGCATATCCTGAAATTACATTTAACAACTCCTCGCCAAATGGTAGTTTTATAATCATGCGCTTGTTGCTGCTTTTTACTACTCCAACTACCTAATTTATCCAATGTGTAGATCTGTAGAACTTCGGGAAATAATTTGCAAGTTTTCAAACAATTAGGATACAGCAATGGGACATGTGTGAAAGAATACAATGATAACAATTGTGTGAAAAACAACAATAACCTTTATCAAGAAATTCAAGATTCGGAAGTTCCAATTTGGTTAGGAAGTGTGAAATGCAATGGCAATGAAAATGTATACATAAAGAAGATGCTGGTTGTATTTGTTCTGATGACCATGTAGGTTAGTATTCTTTCAAAGATTTTAATTATTTACTATCATAATATTTTATAAAAAAAGAAACTCTTGGTATAATGATGTCAATAAATTTAACTCGTTATAAAACAGATTTTATACAAAAGATCCGGACAAAAAAATCCTGAGCATAAACCACTGGATAAAACTCTTGAGACAAAATACCTCCAGAGCAGAAGACCTCTTCGACCAAACTTTTTAAGGCAAAATACCTTGTGAACAAAAACCATTCAGACAAAATCTTCTGAAATATAAAAATTTCAGACAAATTTTCCCGGATAAAATACCTCCAGAGCAATAAACATCCCAGTCAAAAAAACAAAACAGAATCCCTGACAAAATACCACCCGAGAAAAATATATCCCTGTCAAAAATTCTCAAAACAAATTTCTGTGAGCAATGAACATCCCGGAAAAACCCCTGAACAAAATACCTTTTGAGCGGTAAACATCCGGACAAAAATCCTCTACACGACTTATCTTCGAAAACCGTGGAGACAAAATTCCTCTAGAGCAATGAACGTCTAATTTCCATCACCTCTTATATAAATAGTTTTAGAAAATGTATTATTTCATTCTTTATATATATAGACTGTCGTATATACAGTTATTACGAAATTACACCGCATTTTCCGCACTGTTGAGTTTGTAAATAATTTATTCAATTTTTCGAACAATTATTTAATCAATATTATTCAACTTATTCAAATTAATAATAAAATTTTAAATTATTTTATACTGCATTTTTCATATATACATTTACATAAACCTTTACCATCATCATTGTAATATTTTGTGATATTGTTATATGTAGTTCATCAGGTATTTATAGTATTTTTAACAAAAGAACTCTAGGTCCCATTGTTTCTTTGTGTGAGTAATTTTTGTTGGTAGGATCGTTACAGCCAATTGTTGGATGTTTATTACAGGGTTTCTATTTTTTATTAATAAAGCCTCTGCCATTCTCAAATTACTTATATTATGCTTGTAATATAACATTATGGTATTTGAGTTTAATATTTTCCTTGTTATTTTTATTTGGTGTGAATCCATTAGATCATTTTTTATTGCACCATTTTGTGTATGCATTGTTAATCTTCTTGATAAAGTCGTAGTAGTAAATCCGATATATTCTGTGTTTTGGTGTCTACAATCACCGATTTTATAATCAAAAGAATATACTAGATGACTGCTTTTCATTATCGATTCTGGTTTAGTATTGCAATTATTTTCAAGAACAAGGGATGAAGTTTTAAGTCCTGGGCATGACATAAAACTGCATCTACGCTGCCTTGCGTGCTTTTGAGCAAAAGGCTAGGCCCACCGCTTATATCTGGTGGTTGTCGTCAGGATGGGTGTCCGGATGTAAAAACTTTCCATAAATTATTCTATGCCATCAAAAACAAAAACAACGGCCGCTAGTCCCCAGCAGGTCTTAAGTGGAGCTAAGTGGCGGGAAGTATGCAATAGCGGGGGGATGTTGCAGAAAAATTAAAATGTCCCCTCTATGGTACTTAGACTTGGAACGCTCAATGTTGGATCACTGACTGGCTGCAGCATGGAAATCGCAGAAATGCTCGAGTGTAGAAAGATTGACATCTGCTGCCTTCAGGAGACCCGATGGAAATCAAATGGTGTCTGTCATATCAATTCAGACAAAGAAAAATATAAACAATTCTGGAATGGTCAAAAGACGACCAAAGATGGTGTTGGAATTTTTGTCAAAGAACCGCTAGCCCAAGAAGTACTGGATATTAAAAAAATTAATTCACGTCTCAAGTTTCGCCTAGAAAAGCAAACAATGACTATTATTTTCTGCATACGCACCACAGACAGGCAAATCAGAAGAGATGAAAAATGACTTCTGGGCTGCGTTTTCTGACACCATCTCATCAATACCAAAATCTTAAACAATCCTGATTGGAGACAATCTCAATGGCCACGTTGGAGAGAAAACAGATAGTTTTGACAACGTACATGGCGGTTTTGGCTATGGAGGACGGAATGAAGATGGCACCGCATCCTTGAGTTTGCTGAACGTCACGGGTTTCGTTTACTGAACACATATTTTAGAAAGAGGTTGGAACATCTCATAACATACAAAAGTGGACCATCAGCCACGCAAATTGATTTCTTCGCTGTCGAGCAACAACACCGAAGGCTATTCAAAAATGTCAAAGTTATACCTGGCGAATCATGTGTCGCCCAACATAGACTCCTTGTGGCAGACCTGGTTGTCGAACTATCACAACATAAATCTAAACAAATGCCTCGGAAAATCCAAACGTGGAAGCTGAAAAGCAATATTCATCGCGAAAAATTTCAACAGATTGTCGCCAAGAAGTTAGACCACCAATCGCAAGCCAGTACAGATTGGAGTATATACAAAACCGTTTTAATAAACCCTGCAACTAGTTTGTGGGAAAACTGGTACAAAACGTCAGCATGAACGAGACACTTGGTGGTGGAATGACAGTGTACAAAATTCAATAGCTGAAAAGAAAGCTGCATACAAGCAATGGCATAAATCAAAGTCTGTTGATGACCATAAAATTTTCTGTGGGAAGAACAACTATGCAAGACTTCAAGTCGCACTGGCTAGGACAGATCAGGGAAGGGAGTGGCTCACTAAAAGCAAGGTGAACAAATGAAATCTCTGTATAGTATAGCAAAACAAGCAAAGCGTACGAAAAAAGACATAGTTGGTGCCTCATGTATCAAAAACGACAAAAACGAGATGGTTCTTGAACAAGATGAGATTAAGCTAGAGTGGAGAGGATACTTCAACCGTCTGTTAAATGAAACAAATCCCATCAATGTCAACTTTGAATCTCCACCCATCGAAGGTACGATTCCAGACATCACTGTAGAGGACCTTACAGAAGCTCTGAAAGCTATGAAGGATGAAAAGGCAGCAGGGCCCTCTGGACTCACAAATGACATTATCAAAGCAAACAGTGTGTGATGCTTGAATCTACACATATTCACATGTGCTACGTGTGTTGATGTTCATACAACAACAACAACACACGTTTAGACGACATATTCCCCGAGATCGGGGTTGCCATTTGGCTACCTATGATGAAACCGAATGTCATTATAAATATTTTATTGGCTAATTTTAACGCAGGACGCCCTTCCTTACGCAACCAGTTATAAGCGGTGGGCCTAGCCTTTGATGATCCAACATCACTCACAAGGCAGTGAGGGTCAGTTTAATGTCATAACCAGGACATATGTTGATGTTCATACCCCTGGGAAATAATAATAAACAATTAATTAACCATTTTTAATCACAGCAAGCCCATCATGACAAAATTAATTAAATTACCATTCCACACTGCCGAGCATTTAACAAACCAACCGACCAACAGCCGCAAATACAACACTGACATTGACAAGTACCTCAATCGTCTTCATGTCTCCATCAAGAAATATCTTTAATGGATTGATGATGACATTTGTCGTCGTCTGTATGAACGATCGCTTGGCCTCTGCTATCTTCTGCTGAACTTCCCCACTTTTCACCAAAGTTTCACCTTTGAGTGTCAAGGGTGATATGCGGTTTTATTAAAAAGAAGAAACAAGAGAATGCAGCACTTAGAACAATGATGATCATAATGTAGTCAGTCTTTGTTGTCATTTTATTATATCACGTCAAAACCAGATTATAATCATTATTATTCATTCATTCATTATTAATTACATGGTATATCTGGCCTCCTCATATATCATTAGCACAGCATCACTATCACAATCTGCATCTCCATTACAAGAAGGTAGCTAACATTCACAACATTATCATATTATTTATTTATTTATTCATTTATTTATTTATTTGAACAAAGCACGGGCTATTGCCCATTACCGAATTTACAGGGAAAAAAAATACATAGTATTATACATGCATACCACGATACATTCGTACAATTGCTTCACAAGTATAATCACGAAGATAATGCATTATACCATGGCAGATTGAAAATAATTTCCAAAAACAATAAATTAACACTAACAGTGTCTTGAGTGTCACCATAAATGCAAACTTATAAACCAAGATATAATAAAATACTTTATCCATCTAACCCCATTAATCCCATCCTACACCTGAATAGCATAAAATTAACTACACATTTCCCATGCAATAGAAAAAATAAACAAACATTCATGCATCCATCTAATTTCCTTAACCTCCCCTACCCATATACCAACTCATATACCCACCTACTCATAAATCATTAATTATTATATCAGATAATTATATTAGAACCTAGAAATTTCATTAACTATTTACCAATCAATAAAAAAAACCAAACAATCATATGAAAAACAATAATAATAATAAGAAAGTTATGAAGTCAATATAAAATATAATTAACCAAAAAATTTATAAATGAAATACGCACATGCATTCAACCATAAAATGGGTAATGAAATAATCAATCCAAGTCAATCATACATATTCCCAGTCATTACTGATAAAAAATAAAACAAGTACATATTTTTACCTATATTTATGCTCATATTTTTACCATATGATAATTATTACATTAACCTCATAATAATGGGTATTATAAATGTTGCATAAGTAATTCTCTCATTAATCCACTCCCATCCATCCATGAAAAATTCTTATTCAATCATACTAATAGATTAAAAATCTCAAACCATTCCTACTTATCAGCACACTCATCCAATTGAAACGTCAGTTTAAAAGTATCACCTATATTGAAATTTAGCATCACCCCAAAACAAATTCAAACGAGATTTAAAAACATTTGTATTTGGAGAGTCAAAAACAGATTGCGGCGTCTATTCCAGTCCGCGACTACTCTGTTACAAAAAAAAAATTTTCTAACATCCTTGTGAGATAAACCTGTTGACAACTTCATATGATGCCCTCTAGTTCTCCCATCATTATTGAGCAACATGAACGAATGATCAGTATCTGGATTGGCCACCAACATTTTAAATCAGGTCCGCTCTAGTTCTTCGATATTTCAAAGAATGCAAGTTCAATTTTTTTAATCTATCAATATACTCTAAACCATAACAAGAACGGATAGATCTAGTAGCTCTTCTTTGAACTATTTCAATCATTTGTATTAGGTTTATGTGATGTGGGCACCAAACCTGTACCGCATACTCTAGATGTGGTATTATCATCCCTAACCTCCTATCATCATCATCATATCATCATTTTCATACCATCAAGAACTTCATCGTAATCTTCAAGATCATATCACAACTATCATCATTAGCATCCTATTATATCATCATCACTAATATCAAATCATAGTCGTCTTCATCATCATCACTAACAACACCACCATCATTTTTATATCAGCGTCGTCATCCTCACAAACCACCTAACCATCACTGACATCTTATCGTCATAATCATGCTCATCATTGTCAATAACATCACCCTGATCACAATCATCATCACCATCCTTACTAATATCAATATCATCATTATTATCATCACCACTACTCATATCATCATCATCATTAAGAACCAACCATATGGCGAGGTGGGGTCCATATCATTACCAGCACTGACGAATGTGGCGCCCAGCTCATCAAATGGGTTCGGTTTGGAAGATTTGTTGCTGGAGCTCACTGAATCCATCACCATTGACTGCAGCCTGGATGCTGGGAGTTGAAAGATGCCGTGAATACAAAGGTAGTGATGATTATGATGACGATAATAATTATGTTGGTGGTGATTGAGATGAAGAAGTTGCTAGTAATGAAAATAATGACTACCGGTGGTGATGCAATGATTATGTTGGTGGGAATTAGAATAGTAATAATGAGCATTATGCTAGTGACAACAATTAGAATGATTATAATGTTATTATGTTACAAGAAAGAAAAATTATAATTGTGATAATAATAATTATAAAAATGATGGCAAAGACAATTCTGGCAGTGATTAATATGTAATAATTATGATTTCTCAATGGTAATGATGTTAATGATTATGATGATGATAATAAAAGAAATGAGAAATGTGATATCTAAACATTAATTTTGTTTTTGAGTCTAGAGAGACAATTTCAAACGCTGCACTAAAATGTAGATGCCCAAAAGAAAAACAAACTGAAATTAGGATCAATTAAGACTTGAAGCTGGTTAACAATTTGCTCTGACCACTTCTTCGTCTTCATGGCCTTTGTTATCAATGACTCGAGATGTGCATCATATTCGGTTTTGACTGCCTGGCCAAGTTTTTCTTCTGCTTGCTGTCCAGTGTCAATCAAGTAGATGAATGTGAATGAAAAAATATTCAGTGGTGTTAAAATTACCCAGCTTCTATAATGCTATTTATTTAATTTTGTAAAAATTACTTAAAAAACTAGTGCTAAAATAAGGGCCATTTATAAAAACAGTAATAAAAGTGTACAGTACACAAAGTACACGTAGTAGATATTTCATTTTTCAAAAATGTTACTCGTCGATAGAATGCATTCTATTATTAATTATTCTTCCCAACTGTGCCAAAATTTTTAGGTTAAATTTATGTCATTTTTTAAAACCCATAACAACCTATTTTCAAGAAAAAAAAACTAACAAAAGTGTAACAAACAAAAAAAAGCTACTCAATTAAATATTAAATTAATGGCTAACTGCATTGGAAATATTAAAAAAGTTTTGTATTAAAAATATATATATATATATATATATATATATATATATATATATATATAGCTTGGAACGAGGCTTTCTTTATATATATTGTCAGAATTATGAAAAGAGACTGGGTTGACTAGTGAGGCAGCTTCGAATAATCAGTGCCTATTCTGGTCCCTAAGAGACTTAACGCGTGATTCTATGCTCATTGGCATAGTTTCAGAAACGTCTTAAGTTCTCAAAGAGTCAGCCTTGGGTTCACCAGTTAGGCAGCTTCGAATAATCAGTGCCTATTCTGGTATCTAAGAGACTTAACGCGTGATTCTATGCTCATTGGCATAGTTTCAGAAACGTCTTAAGTTCTCAAAAGTGGATTTGGTACGAGACTCTATGCTCATTGGCATAGTTTCGCACGCGTACTAGAGTCACACAATTTGTTTCCAGTGTTGTTCTGACTCTTGTTGTCTTGTGTTGGTCGTGCGAAAGCCGATCAGACTCGACGGCCCAGTGAAAACAGGCTAGGGTTGTGCGAAAGCCGACCGACTGACTGACAGGCCCAGTGAAAACAGGCCCTTGGTCGTGCGAAAGCCGATCAGACTCGACGGCCCAGTGAAAACAGGCCAGGGTTGTGCGAAAGCCGACCGACTGACTGACAGGCCCAGTGAAAACAGGCCCTTGGTCGTGCGAAAGCCGATCAGACTCGACGGCCCAGTGAAAACAGGCCAGGGTTGTGCGAAAGCCGACCGACTGACAGACAGGCCCAGTGAAAACAGGCCTTGGGTTCTGTGAAAACGAATCCGCCTCGTTGTTTTGTTTCTTGTGCTATTTGTCGACCTAGGGTTCTTTGCTGGATTCTATACTCATTGGTATAGTTTCACACGCAGCTTGGAATTTCCATAGGCTCCGATTTTTGTGATTCATTTTTTTTATTTATTTCTTGGAGTTGTATCGACATCACCATCGGATACACACGTCGAGGTTTTACGATTAAACGGCAAGAAACATATCCCAAGTTGAAGACCCAACAAGAAGAGTTCTAATTCTTGTATTCCAGTTTGTTCATTGACATTTACATTATTATAGAGTTCATTAGTTCAATTCCTTTTATTTACTTCCGTCGATTAATAAAATTGTTATCGAATATTTTTCGCGTTCGTGTGTTACTCAGTAAAATCATATAATTCGAAAAAGCCCAGTGCTACACAGGACTGGTCGAACTCACGATAAAAATATACACAAAAATTATTGTCGGACCATACAAAAATTCCCTGAGAAAGATAGAGGAGGAGATTACCTCACACCACCAGTTGTTTTAATTGTTTTCATTTATAAATTTTCCGACAATTAGCGCTCAACTTGGGGCTTTGTCATCCTTTAAAAATCCTCCTCCTCATTAATTTTATTATTTATTATTTTAAAATTTCCGACAATATATATATATATATATATATATATATTCTATAAATTCTACCGAATGTTTGGCGTTAATATGTTTGTAGTTCGTTTAACTTTAGATTTACCATTGAAAGTGAAAAGGAACAACGTTTACCTTTCCTCGGTGTGTTGGTCACCCGTGGCGAAGAACGATTCAAAACCGCGGTCTATGTCAAAGAAACGAATACAGGAATTTGTTTGAATGGACAAAGTGAATGCACTGAACAATTTAAAGACAGCACAATAAAATCATTTGTGAACTGGGCACTCTTCCGATATTGAAAATCGCGACGCTGAATTAAAGAGGGTCACTAACCTGCTTGTAAACTTACTCTATTGAAAAGATTGTTAAAAACCTTCCTAGTACCAACAATCAAGATAACGACATCATCTTGTATTACAGAAATCACATGTCAACAGCATATAAGGTAGATGAAGCTATTCTTAAGCATATCACACCAAAGTTAATTTTTACAACGTCAAAGTTAATCTTGACAAAGTCAATATTTCCCTATATATACAACAAGGAGCACTGACGATGATTCATTCGGAATCGAAATATGGCCTTATTTGCAGCATGAATTCGAAAAATAAGTTTATTTTGAATTTTAATAAACTAAACGTTCACCGAAAAACTTTAGTGAGAAAAATCGAAAAAACGAACTACAAACATATTAACGCCAAACATTCGATAGAATTTATAGAATATTGTAAAAATTATGGTCTATTACCAACATATATATATATATATATATATATATATATAATTTTTACAATATTCATATAAATTCTACCGAATGTTTGGCGTTAATATAATAATTATAAATTAATGGCTAACTGCATTGGAAATTTTGTATTAAATAAATAAATATATATATATGTTGGTAATAGTTGGTCATACTTTTGGGTGATTTCAACATTCACCTTGAAAAGCAGGAAGATTGTCATACTGTAAATTTATTGGAAATATTAGAAATGTTTCAATTAAAAAATTTGAACGACGAACCGACTCATGAACATGGAGGTATTCTTGATCTGATTATTTGTTCTCAAGATTTTCAGATTTCAGATATTAAGATTTTTCCCAGCGGGACTTTTTCAGACCATAGTTTAATTCAGGTTAATATATCATTAACTCATAAGCGTCCTAAAATAGTCAAGAAACAAGTTAGATCCTGGAAATACCTAAATGAAAGCAATCTCATTAAATATATACAGACCATTATCAAGGTCTTGCCAAAGCAATAATATTAATATTGAGTTTGATATGATGAGTTCTGAACTCAAGAAATTGGCTGATGCAGTTGCTCCACTTCGTTTTGCAGAAGTCAAATGTGATGTTAATGCTCCATGGTATGATGGTGAATGTAAATCTTTCAAAAGACTTTGTCGAAAGAAAGAAAGGAATTACAGAAAATATCAGACAGAGAAATGTAAAAATGAGTGGATAGCAGCCCTGAAAAATAAATCTAGGCTTTTTTCACAAAAAAGAAACAGTTATTGGAAAAGACTTGTTGCAGACAATAGTGGATCTTCTAAAAATCTATGGAATGTTATTAATAAAGTCCTTTGTAATCAGGTCACTGGTCAGTCATTGAGTGAAATTGTTGGTTTAGATTCGTCTCAATTCTTAAAATTTTTAATGATAAAGTAAATAAAATTAAACAGTCTACCAATGTGTCTAATTGTCCGACTATTTGTCAAGCTCAGTACAATGGGAATTTTCTTTTCCTGACTTTATGCTTTTAACAGAATCTGACGTTAGAAAAATTGTACTCAGTTTGCCATCAAAAACATGTATGATAGATGTCTTTCCGACCCATATTTTAAAGAAATATATTGATTTATTCATCGTTTTTCTTACCAGTATCTTAAATCTGAGTCTGAGCAGTGGCACATTTCCTAATGGTTGTAAGCATGCTATGGTTATCCAGTTTTAAAGAAAGTGAATATGGATAGAAATGATTTGTCTAGTTATAGACCAATTTCCAACATCTGTTTCATTTCCAAGATATTTGAACGAGTGGTTGCCAAACAGCTCTTGAATCTTTTGAATGTAAACAACCTGCTACCAGTTCACCAGTCTGGATATCGCCGCTATCATTCAACAGAAACTGCACTGCTTTATGTGTTTTCTGAGTTGTTTGCTGCTTTGGACAAACAACATGTGGCTCTAGTCACGTTTTTAGATATGAGTGCGGCATTTGATTGTGTAGACCATCAGATTCTCTTGGAAAAATTGGCTCATGATTATGGTATTTCCGGTACTGTTATCAAATGGTTCAGATCATATCTGTTTGACAGAAAGCAACAGGTAGTTTTCAATAATGTGTTATCTAATGAAACGGTTTTGACATCAGGAGTGCCACAAGGTTCAGTGCTTGGGCCTATTCTTTTTATCATGTATACCGCTGAAGTTTTTAAAGTAATTGGTAATTTCGGTTTTAAATATCATGCCTATGCTGATGATATTCAGATTATAGTTAGTAATAAGCCAGAATTACTGCAATCTGAAATCAACAAACTTCTAACCTGCCTAAATAACAAGTCAAAATTTGTTCCAATAGGTACATGGTAGCAGCTGATGAAACTTAATATCGATTCAGTGAAAATAGGAGATGTTAAAATAGAATTTAGTGACAAAGCAACTAATCTGGGTTTCCTTCTTGATTCTAGATTATCGATGCATGATCATATAAAGATGATAACAAATTCATGCTCCGGACAGATTCGAGAACTCTATAAACTCCGTAAGTCATTAGATAAATCTGCTATTCATACCTTGGTGCATGCATTGGTTCATTCACGATTGGACTATTGCAATGGTCTGTTTTACGGTTTGCCAGATAGGTCTATTTCTGCAATTCAATCTATTCAGAATAGAGCAGCCAAATTGATTGTTGGAGGTCTCAAATTTAACCACGTTACGCCAATTCTAAAGGGCCTTCATTGGCTTACTATAAAGAAAAGAATTAAATATAAATTATGTTTTTTAATGTATAAAACTGTGCATGGCTTGTTACCATGTTATTTGAGAGATAAAATAAAAGAAAAGTCAATAATGATGAGTGGTATGAACCTTAGATCAGATGATGGCATTTTGCTGGTTGTACCCGATGTCAATCTGCAGATAGCATCAAGAGATTTTGCAGCATCTGGTCCAATGGTTTGGAACAGCTTA